TAAAGACTCCCAAAAAGGCCTCAAAAAGGCCTCACAAAGGCCCGCGGACCACCAGTTGATAATCACAGTCGTAGCTTGTTTTGCGGCTCTGGGCACATTTTATCAGTGAGCAGAGCAGCAGAAATGCCTCTTTTGATGGTAAAGGTTGCAGACCCCTGTTTTAGGTGTTCAGACAGACTGAAGTTATTTTATAAAATAAGCCATTAATGCAAAATAAAAACACTGAAACATTGTATGAAGTGTGTGACTCGTGCTGCCAGATTGGATGTAAAAAGCTGCTACAACCAGACTGACAGCTGGTTGTGCAGGTGAACTGTCAGTCAGTCAGGCTGAACTTCCTCCTGTACTCACCCACACTTCTCCACCACATCACGAGCCTTTCAGTCCGGGTTCAGGTCCAAACAGCAGCTTTAGAACCTCCTCACCATCAGCACACTGCAGGTGGGTCCAGCTCCCTGGAAGCTGCTCGGAACCAGAACCAACATGAACCCAAACACGGTCCGGTCTGCTCCTCCTTTCTGCTCTGAGGGGGGTTTCAGAGCATCGACCTCCTCTCTGTGCCGGGTTCTCCTTGGAAACTGTGCCGCGTTCAGGGACAGCTCGGAATTCAAAACTCCCAAAGCAAAAATCAGCGACGAACGGATTTTCAGAGCCGTGCTTGACAGTTTTATGTAACTGTAAATAAATTACAGACAAAGCTGTTGGTTAATAGAGCAATAAGAGTTAACTGGACCAGAACCAAATACACACAAGCCTGAGAATACTAAAAACATAAAAATAAGAAAATACTGACGAATCTAAATGTACATTCTTCTATCAGATGGTTTTAAAAACTGCTGTAAGCAGCAACTTATCTATAAAAACAAAAACACATCTTGTGTTCAGTCTGGAACAAGTGCACCATTATTTTCCCAACACACCTAACCTTTGGTAAGTGAAGGTATCACGTGAATCTGTAACTCAGCTCCTGATTGGCTCAGATTTGTCCACATGTCCCCTCCCCTGTCCCCTCCACAGCTCCTGCAGCTGCTGACTTCTCCTTTTAACACCAAATTAAGCATTTTTTATATAAACAAACTATAATTACATTGCAGGGATACAGACTAACGATGAGAAACAACATTAGAATCTATAATATTTATCTTTAACTTTAAAAAATATTTTTGTCCTCTCTTAAAATCATTCAGTGTTTGGTTGAGAAATCATGAAACAAATTGTRCACAAGAGGTTAATTGCACCAGATTGCATAAAATAATAATGTGTTTTACACTGTTTATACACGTTCTATGAATACAATATATGATTTGTAAAGTTACACAGTCAAAAATTACCACCAATATTTTTGTTTTATTTAACCTTTTATAAGAAAAAAGAACAGATTTATTTTTCAAAGTCAGTTTTTCACCATATGATTCATACATTTATAAATGT